ATACTTGCAAATGGCTCGGTGTTACACTAAAATCCGTCCTCCTGTTTGTTTTGTTTCAGTGTCCATCAACCCCAGAGGAAAAATATCTGTGTTGAGCAGATAAACGCTTTACTTTTTTCACCACTGACTTTCTCTGTTGGGTGTTTAGTGCTTGGCAGGGAGGAACTGCATCAGGGCTCTTTCTGCTGAAAAGAGCTGCCTGGAGTGTCTTTAAACTTCACTGCTGAGAGCGGATTGCATCAAAAACAGTTCAACCGCAGGCTCAAAAACGTGACTTTAAAAAAAACATACTTGAGCTGAGGAGGAAGTTACAGGATTAATTATTCTATATGCAACAATATAAAAGCAGAAGTGAGAAGAAAATATGTTTTGGATGAGATAAAGAAACAATCTAATTGTAAAAACAGCAGCATCTATGAACATTATAGTAATATTAAGTGTCGACAAACAAACATTTTATTAGAATTACTGGCAAAATCCTTCATTAGCAATTAAACAAAAGCACCCAAAGGTTGTTTTCTGCAGCAACCAAACTCCCTGCAATTACAATAAAAAAAAAATGTCTTCAAGCAAATCATTACGTTTATAAAGTGTTTACTAATGCATGTATACAAAATGAAAAGTCCCCACCTATAAGAGCTTAGAGCCAAGAATAAATATCGGAGTTTAAGCATGCATGATGCGACTGATTACCGTGTTCTGACCCATTCTGCTCAAAGCAGCAGCTGTAGCAGAGATTAACTTCAGAACATTATATTCAATAACAGAACACGAGCTACAGCCTGTAAATGTAAAGTTAATTGTTCAGTTAATTGCATATTATGTGGCATTTGGAGGCAGGGTAATACAACAGCTGATTACATTTTATGGCAGGTAACCAGTAGCAAAACACAAAGAGGGCACACTTGTTTTAAATACTTAATGGTTGAATCATTTTTTCTTTTTAATTTGCCTCACGAGAGCTGACTGTTTGCTCTTTCCAAGTGTTTGCATGGCTGTAAGTGTCCACAGAGTAAATTAAAGTATATTTTTATTAGGTTACAGAAAGTTTGAGAGTTTTGTCCAACAGCAATAACAGACTGGGCTGATTTTCAGCTCAAATTTCAGCTAAAGGTTTAATCTGACGGCTCGTACTGTAACAGCTGGTTGCGTACTGGCCAAACTAACACCGCGAATCTTCACATTTAGACGTCTTGATATAGATTTTATTTTTTTTACATTTCAGAGAGCGATTAATCAGTCCAAGACATTCCCATCCGTCCCTGATTCAGCCTCGTCGTCGTTGTAATTACTGTACGGCGCTTAAGGACGTTCCCATTTGCATAATTGATTCTTTTTATCGAGGCACGTCTCACTATCTCTCTCACATACAATCTGCTACGCAGGATGGTTTTTTAACAAGGGAAGATGTGAAACGCTGATCCTAATTCAGTTGTCTCCCTTTCCCAGTGATCTCGTTTTTTAATCTCGTTTCCGAGCTCGCGTCTCCACACGTCTTTGTTCATCATCCTTTTGTCAGTTTTTTTTTAATTCATCTGTAATTTCACCTCTTCATTTTATGTCTCTCCGTCGTCCTGTTTCTGTTTTTCTTTCTTTTTTTTTTTTTTTTATCTATTACCCTATTTTTCAGACTATAAGGTGCATCTGATTATAAGGCTCGCTGTCGATTTTTGAGAAAATGTAAGGATTTTATGCGCCTTATAGTCCAAAACAAATACAGTAATATCGCCCACCACCAAAAGTTAAATGGCAATAATGTCTTTGCTTGTGTCTGTGTGCATGGGTGTGAGTTTAGCAAAAAAAAAAAACTCACAAACCAGTGGACTGATTATATTAAAACATTTAAAAATGAATAATTGGAACCACGTCTACAACTTCTAACTTTTAAAGTCAACCTGATTCAAGAAGGATACCACAGCTAAACAACACAAAAATGGCTCAAAATTAACTATTACCACATAAACTTTAAGTCATTTGCTTTTGACTGGATTCTGAGCTCATCCTTTACCCTTTATTTATCCAGGTAGTCTCATTGAGCCACGAGAACTCATTTTCAAGAGAGACCTGTTTAGGGAGCAGATCCTTCCATCACTAACACACCAGTGAGATCCTGCAGCATCATAACTTCTCATCAGTTGTAAGATTTGACCAAAACAGCTTGACTTCTGTCATTTCTCATCATCACATGATCTCTGGCATGAAAGGTGGTGGGTGATATGCATTCCTTAAAGAAAAGATAGGCCTCCTTTTCCTCGTTCCTTCAACTCCACTATCAGTTGTTTTACTTTTCACTAAAAGAAAACTAAAGAAATCCATTTTTTAATTCCGTCTGTTTGTCGACGCGTAACTTGTTACGCAATTTTTGCGTTATTTCTACAGTTCTTATATCGAAACGTTTATCTCCATCCATCCATTATCTTTACCCGCTTCTTCCATTTTGGGTCACGGGGATCGCCGGTGCCCATGTCCAGCAATCACTGTGCGAGGGGCGGGGGACACCCTGGACAGGTCTCCAGTCCATCACAGGGACACATAGAGACAAACAACCATTCACTCTCTCACTCACACCTAGGGACAATTCAGAGTTACCAGTCAGCCTAACATGTATGTTTTTGATCTGTGGGAGAAAACTGGAGTACCCGGAGAAAACCCACACATGCACGGAGAGAACATGCAAACTCCACCCAGAAAGGCCCCCAGACTGGGATTTGAACTGGGGACCTGCTCGCTGAGAGGCAGCAGCTCTACCAGTTATGCCACCATGCCACCCGTACGTTTATCTCATTCAGGAAATTCCTTCTATGGCTTTTGGTATTTGTGTAAATTTTACTTTTTGAAATATTTACCTTTTTCTGGCATGTTTTCCACATTAAAAATGAACGGAGGGCTCGTTACATCCTTCAAAACCATTTTCTGCTCATTGCAGCTTTTGTTCTGGTTCAGATCTTTTAGCTACTTTCTGCTAATTTCAGCTTTTTTCTTCTTTATGTGCTCCTTTCGGCTTCTAATGTCTGCTTTTTTCTTGAGCATTTTCAGCTACTTTTTGTCTAATTTCAGCTTTTTTTCTGCATATTTCAGTTTCTTTATTTGTTTTTTTGCTAATTTCAGATTGTTTTCTAGTCTGCCTTCATCTGCCTGTTTCAGCTTATTCTGCTTATTTCTGTTACATGTCTGCTCCGTTCAACTTTTTCTATACATTTCTGCCATTTGTCTGCTGCTTTCAGCACATGTCTGCGCTTCAAATTCTGAAAAGTGCTGAAACTTTTTCAGTCTGGTTTCAACCTTTTAAGTAAATCCATAAAAAGGTTTAAATCAAAACAACTGGACTTTATTTTGTAGCTGAAAACTTTTGGCTTCTCATCTGAAGAGCTTATGCGATTCAAAGAATGGAAACTAATTGTTTTATTTTAAATCTTTCTTTGTCCTGGATGACTGAGAATCTTCACCAGCAAACCTTTTAAGCAGCTTTCAGCAATCTCAATTCGCCCGGCGGCCCTGTCAATTCGATGCTCTGCCCCCTCCCGACGAGGAAGTCTGCGGACCTATCAGAGGGACCCGGCTGAATAAACATTGTGTCATCATTTCAGGACTTTCTGATGCTCTCTGGCGCTGTCCTAGGTCGACCTCGGCACCCCTTGCGAGTGTTTATGGATCTCACCAGAGGGAACTGACTGATTATACCATTCTTATTATAACTCCTACAGTGCCTCTGGAGTGTCCTTGGACACGCTCACCGCTCTTGTCATCTCCCCTCCCTTGTGGAACATCTGCATCACTATGTGCTTTTGTGCGGGGTGTTTTTTTCAATCTCAGGCTATCTCTCCTCGGCCAAGAAGTGAGAGTTAGATAGGATTTTTTTTGCCTCCAGCTGGTGCAAAGAGAATAACCTTCACATCAATGTGAAGAAGACAAAGGAGATGATTGTGGACTTCAGAAGGAACAAAAACATCTACACCCCCCCTGAACATAAGAGGAGAGGATCTGCGGTGGAAGTGGTCTCCAGCTACAAGTACTTGGGTGTACACATGAATGACAACCTCAGCTGGAGCAACAACACCACCAGCCTGATCAAGAAAGCTCATCAGAGACTCTACTTCCTCAGACAGCTGAGACGAGCTGGTCTGGGAAGCTCAGTCCTCACCTCCTTCTATAGGTGTGCAGTGGAGAGCATCCTGTGCTCCAGCATCAACGTGTGGCATGGAGGCTGCACAGCTGCAGAAAGAAAAGCTTTGCAGAGAGTGGTGAAGGCTGCACAGAAATCTGTCGGAATCAGCCTCCCCACCGTCACAGACATCTACACCTCCAGATGCAGGAAGAGGGCCACCTGCATCATGAAGGACCCCACTCACCCAGCACACACACTTTTTGCCCCACTCCCCTCAGGAAGGAGGTTAAGGAGCATTAAGTGTAGAACCACTAGACTGAGGAACAGCTTCTACCCTGAGGCTGTTAGACTCATGAATCTCTAACTAGAATAATCACTGTGAAAAACCATATCATGTTGCTGCTGATCTGTTTCATGTTGCTGCTGATCTGTTTCAATGTTGATGTGTTCATGCGTGCACATCTGCTCACAGACTCATGTTCATGTTTGTGCTGATGTTCAATGCTTTATGTTATGAGTGCTTAGTGTATATTTAGTTGATGTTTTTCTTAGTTCATATCTTAGATGTTATTACTGTTTTTCTTATACATTTTATTGTTGGATGTAACTGGGACCCCGTGTACATAATTTCGCTCCACCACATGTACCACATGAGGTGCGAATGACAATAAAGAAACTCTGACTCTTACTCTGACTATGCATGTGTCACCTTCATTGCTTTTTGTCTGAAACAGGTCTCACTTGTAAATGAGTCTTCAAGTCTCAATGTGATTTATCTGTTTAAATAAATAAGCATTTCTGCAGGAAATGAGCTGTTTTTTTTGTAAATTGTTCACATCAAATAAAGATCGGCTCAGTGTTTTGTTCATCTGTGCATCACTTTCCTTTCTCTCAGACCTGCTGACTACTCCTGGGAGAGGAGGGATGGAGAGCTCCCCCAGCTGTCCAAAGCCGACGGTGCCGTCCTGTCCTTTTTGATGCTCAACAAATCAGACAACGGGTTCTACGTGTGCCACGCTGACAATGGCATCGGGAAAGGCATGGGGGAGTACATGCTGCAGGTGCAAGGTAAGAGGAGAAAACTGAACAGAGACATCAACCACGGGTGGAAGTGATGGGGAATGTGGACAAAAATGTTCTTTTTACGTTTCTTCATCATGTTTTTGTTTTTTTTATTTCTTCTGTTGTTTGTTGTGGCTTTGCTTGTACTTCCATCTTTTTTTCTTGTCTGATTTTCTTTCCTCCTGTTTTTGTTTCTTGTGTTTTCTTTGTTTTTTTTTTTTTATATATATTCTCATCCAAATGCCATCACCACCATTTGCTCGATCTTGTGCTTTTTTCCTTTGGCTTTTTCACGTACTTGTTCAATCCGTGGCGTTTTTGTTGCGCTTTGCTTACCCTGTAACTCATTATACCCCCCACCTCCTCCTCCAACAAAGATCCTATCGACCCAGACTCCTCAGACTTCACCTCCTCCCCTTCTCTTGATTCTCCAACCTCCTCATCTTTCCCTCCTTCAACCTTTCTTCTGTCCTCCTCCCCTCCTGACATCTTCCAAGGCTCAGGGTCAGGACTCACTGACTACATCCCCACCTCCTCCTCCCCCGACTCAATCCCTCCAACAACTGTCTCCCCAACCACCATAAGTTCCTCCTCCACCACCACCCTCTCCAACGCCCTCTTCCCTGACCTCCCCGAATCCTCTGATATTCCTACTTCTTTCTCCCCACGCGTCCCCCCTTCACCTGCCACTCCTTCCCCATCGTCCCTCACACCCTCAGTTTCCGTCCAGCTGAATGGAGTTTACACTGTCACAGGTAAAACCAGTTACACCCCCACGCACACACACAGTAATGGAGTGGAAAAGACAAACAATTAAAGTTGCAGCTTTGTTATTTTTCTCCTTCAGTAGACAAACTGAGTAGCTGTCAGAAACACTTGGAAATTGTTTTTTTGTGCACATGCAGACAGGAAGTGTAAAGAAACACACAGTGATGGACAAGATTGGATTATTTTGTGGCTGTGTCACAACTATTTCATGTTTTTTTTTTTCTTGTTTTCCTCTTTCCTCCTATCAATGACTCCTAACCTGCAACCCTATCCCCAACACACACTCCTCTTATCTGTGCATCCATCCCTCCATCCATTCATCCATCCATTCATCCATCCATCTAAACATTCAACAATCCATCTCATCCACTTGAGAAGATGATGCACGCAACTTAACAGGTATAACTTTTCCATGTGTCTCCTGTCTTTGTGACTGTTGTGTCATCCACCTGTTTGTGCATCTATCTGTTTATGGTTCTCTTTGTCTTTGTCTGGGAAAAAATAACAAACCAAAGGTCTAGAATTGTTTGAAAGAATGTAAAGGGCATGCCATCGTGTAATCTGACGTGATTTGTTAGTGTTGGAGTATGTAACGAGATTGACTTCCAGCTACTGTCAGAGCAAATTTGAGCTTAGTGTGTAAATTTAGCAGAGTTGTAGCCAGTTTAGTCTTTTTTAAGTCAACTTAGCTGTGGCAGCCGTTTGAATCAGGCTGAGTCCAAAAGCTAAATAGTTGTAGATTTACAACTAATGAGTTTACTTTCTGAAAGTTTCCATAAAATCTGTTCAGCGGTTATTATGCTAACAGAGCGTTCCTCAATCAGTTGGCTCTCAAGTTATAAGTTGTGGATCAGTATCAGCTACTACCACACCCACTTTTAGCTCAGTATCTGTATAATTGACGTAGTGATCTCAGTCTTTGCTAAACTTACCTTCCTGTGGCGGCCATTTTAACTTGGATTGAGACCAAAAGCTAATGTTTTGTAGATGTGCATCCAGTAGTTATTTTCTGAAAGTTTCATGAAAATCAATAAAATTAAAAGCAAGCAAACAGGACACAAACATTGTTGCTCCATTTTTTACCTTGGTGGCGGGGGATAGTGTACTCAGGAAGGAAAAATTGATATTTTGCCAGCTCATCCATCATGTAAGTCATACATGTGCAACAGGAGCATCATGCTACACACATTCATTGTAGAGCTGTCATTTCTAACTCGAGCCCGAAGCCCAGCCCGAGCCCAGGCCATAATAATGTGCTTAAAGTGCGGGCTGGGCCGGTCTCAGGCTTTGATGTGGTTTTATGACTCATACAGCACAAAGACAACTAAATAAGAATGCCCAATATAAAACTGTGTTAATCTACTTGTAGAGGAGGAGGCAGGTCTGACCAGTCAATTGAAAGAGGTAAAAAATATGTCCTGGTAAGCTCAGATGGATCAGCTGATCACCGGCCGCGCGCGTCTCCGCACCTGCTCTCATCTGCGGTGAAGGAAGTAGCAGCATCTACAAAAGCCGAAGCGAACAGCGCGTTCAATTAAAATAGCCTTGTTCTTTTTTTTCCAAATGATTTTATTCTAAAAATATTTTTGTTCATCTGTATAATAGCTTATCTTTAGAGTTGATTTTTTTTTAGTCTATTCGTTTTGTTAATATCCATTTGGTGAAACAAGAAATCTTATAGCTTCCCTTATTTGAAATACATTTTTAAAATATCGTGTCAGACTGATTTGCTTACAAAAGCAGTAAAAGCTTAATTAATTTGTACCTGTAATTACAGTTAATCCATCGGTTTTGGGTTGGGCTCGGAAAAAGTGATACGGGTTCGGGACGGGACAGATTTTTTTAGGCCCGAATGCAACTCTAAGTCATAGCTCTCTAAGACATGCAAGCTAGCTTGACCTCTTAAATGGTACAAGTCATTTACACGGTGTTCCACTTCCTGTGCGTGTGTTTATCAATGTTCTGTGAGAGAAAGGATTGGGGGAGAGGGGGGATGCAGGCTTTGAGTTCTTCTCTGGGTCTTGTCTGCTTTCTGTTTGATGCTGACAACAGGATTTATGGCCTCATTCTCATTCTCGCCTCGTCAGCATGCCCCTCTCACCTCCACACCGGCCAGTCAGAGTGTTTGTTCACTTTCTGTGTGTTTGTGTCTTTTATTCCTCTCAGGATCCCCTCCCCTCCACCTGCTTTCTCTCTGGTTCCCTGTTCTGTCTCTCAGCTGGCCCTCTGGTTGGCTCATCTCTCAGTGGCAGAGGTTCTTCTTATAAAACTGATCATCACATCATCTGATGTCCCTGTGGTTCTTTTGTTTTGATTTTACCTTTTGGTTTCCGTTTTGTCTCTGTGTTTATTTCTCCTTTCGTCTCCCTCTTATTCCTTCATCATCTGTGTTTTCAATCGTGCGTTTTGTGCTTTTTTATGTCGGACACGTGTGAAAAGTGCTGTTTCAATGCTGATGATGTCTTAGTGATATTTTTCACAGACGCTCAGGATTTATAACGTCTGAAAAGTCAGGCGAAATAAATGCTCTATCACTGTTTTTGCTGAAATTGATGTCTTCTTTAAGTGGCTAAAATGGCTGACGTAAGGAGAAAAAGAGGGGAAAGGTATAAACTCCTTGCTGTTGGGTGAAACATGCATCTCTAAAAAGTTTCAGTTCTATAAAGATTTGGAGAAAAAAGGTCTTTAAGCAGCTGGTGTTGTCCATGGCCTTTACAAAGTAAAATTATAAAGGAATACAAATGAAAATAAAATGTTTTTGTAATATATGCATTACATCCCAATTACTTCTTTACTCCTAATTAATAAAAATAGCAATGAAAAGTTGTTTCATTAAGTTTAAATTTAACTTTTAAAACCAACTTGTGTCACTAAAAGTACCCTAAATATTCAGTGTATAGATGTGACAAAGTATGATAACTAAAAATATGAACTTCAGTTACCATACTTGCCGCCGTATAAGTCACATCAGTCCAAATATGTCTAAAAAAGTGGAAAAAAACATTAAAAAAGTCACTTCACCATATTCGTCGCATCTATTGTGCATCACCGATGACCACCCGGAAATGTGGGTCGGTGTTGTGCCAAAAATCGATCGGCTGCCGAATGGTGGCCGCAGGAACGTGCATGGGAGGACTTTAACAAGAATTTAACAAGACTGACACTTAAAAACAATTGTTTGTTTGTTCAAAATTATAGTAAAGGTGTGTCTCAGTTGAACTTTTCCTTAATAAATGCACTTTGACGGTCAAATCAGTTGCATTTCAAAAGCCGATTCGCGGAAGCGGGAGCGCGCAGAGAGACGACTCGCTGTGCATTTCTTTGAAATTTAACAAGATAACCACCTAAAAACAATTATTTTTTTGCTCAAATTTATAGTAAAGGTGCGTCTCAGTTGAAATATTCTTTAATAAATGCACTTTAATGGTCAAATCAGCTGCATTTCGCCTGGGTGACGTGGCAAAATGCAGCTGATTTGACATTTGCTCCAGGAGTTCCAGAGCAAGACAAAGGTGGCCGTATGGCAAGCCAAGTATATCACTAATAGCCATTTTTACATATTAATGAGACACTTGGCTTGCCATTTTAGTCGAGGGCCCTCTAGTGGCTGAAAATGGTAGTGTTCAACATTTTCCATGTCGGAATGAATGAAACTGTCAGATCTCACCCAAAAATTGGGTTATAAATACGGGGGGGGAATAAATATGTCGCTTCACTGTATAAGTCGCAGACATGCTAATTTATGCAAAAAAACTGCGACTTATACAGCGAAAATTACAGCAATCATTGCAGATTACTTATTATTTAGATTATTTAAAACAAATAACAATGTTTCTAACTGAAGATTTGGGTTTCTAGAATTCAAAAGTTGCTGAACTGGCCTTTTGTTTGTAGGGAACTGTGAAACTCTTCGTTCACTGTCAAAAAAAGTCTGGCATAAAGGAGTGTGCAGGGATTTCACCCACCATCAAGTGTTTGTGTGTTCCTATCCATCAGTGCGCAGAACTTTGACTGTAAGGATATAATCTTGCTATAAGTTCTACAAAAACAATGGAGGCTGATGAAATGACCTCCTTTCTTTCGCCTTGCTTTTTATTTTTCCCATCCCCTCCCTCTGAAGGTTTGCCACAATGTGGAGTACATACTGACACCTCCTCTTTGCTCCCCTGTTCTTATTTTTTTTTCGTTTTGCCTTTTCTCTGTCATTCTCCTCATTATTTTCTCTCACTCTTTTTCACTCTGTTTCTACTGTCTTTCATCATGCGTCTCCCATTCCCACCAATATTCATCCAGCTCATTCTTTTATTTTCTCAGTCTCCCTCTTCTCTTATTTCTCACTGTTTCTGTTGCTTCTTTGTCTTTTTCTTTCTCATTTACTCTCATTTAATGGGGCATATTTTTTCCCTTCCCGATTCCTAACTTCTCCTCTTCCTGACTTTTTCTGAAGACACAACAGCGATGTCGACATCTTCGGGGGTGGACCACGCCGTGATCGGAGGGGTGGTGGCGGTTATCGTCTTCATCCTGCTTTGCCTCCTCATCGTCCTCGGCAGATACCTCATCAGACACAAAGGTCACCATCATCTCACGCAAACAAACACGCAGATGCAGATGCAGGGTGACACGCTCATGCATTCATGTATGAACATACGGGGAAACATGCTGGCATAAATATGGATACATGTGAACTACTGCTGGAGAACTGCAGAGGCAAACAAGTGCACTTACAGAGTGTGAACTCTAAGCTCCAGATCTTGGAATAAAAAATAAATAAAAACTGTGTTTCTGCAACAATGTGTCTGAGATGGAGCAGCTGAAAACACTCGATTCTGTTTCTGCTCATAATTTTGTTCACGACGCTGCACTAATGATCCTGTCAGGATGGTTTAAATGACTGTACTCATGTCAGACGTTTCAAATATTCATTTGAAGCAAACTATCCATGCATCCATAAACTTTGTCTGCTTCTTCCTTTTTGGGTTGTGGGGGTCACTGGTGTCCATATCCTGCAGTCACTGTGTGAGAGGCGGGGGACACCTGGACAGGTCTCCAGTCCATCACAGGGACACTTGGAGACAAACGAGACAAATAACCGTTCACTCTCTCACTCACACCTAGAGACAATTTAGAGTTACCAATCAGCCTAAAATGCATGTTTTTGGTCTGTGGGAGGAAACAGGAGAACCCGGAGAAAACCCAGTATCATTCACACTGAAACTGCTTAGGGTCATACTGGGGTGTGACTGCTGGTGACTAATTGGTGAACATCATTAATTGGGTCTCCAGTATGTTTCACTACATTCTCAAGGTTGTCTTGATGCTTTTCTTATTTTTAAATCATTACGTATGAACTGATCAAATCTATTGATCTTTGTTTCAAAAGTCTACTCTGGTGGATTAGATTATAAACACGAGGTCAGTAGCCAAGGTGGGGACAAAATAATCTGAAGGTGTTTACAATGTTTATATTGGTGGTAAATTAAATAATGTGCATGACCTAAAATACTATTTTAAAAGTTCAAAAGCTGTGCACTTTGAAATAAGCCATGAATTTCAAATATTGGCAGCACAAAAGTGTCCATGTGGCTCTGCGGTCACATAGAGCAGAAAATTAAGGGTCATCCAAGTTTTTATGTCTTTAAGACTGGCTTATAATCTAAGTAACTAATTGGATTCATAGATAAATATAACTATGTATCATCCATTCATCCATCCATTATCTTTACCCACTTCTTTTTTGGGCCGCAGGGGTCACTAGTGCCCATGTCCAGCAATCACTGTGCGAGGGGCGGGGTACACCCTGGACAGGTCTCCAGTTCATCACAGAGACACATAGAGACAAACAACCATTCACTCTCTCATTCACACCTAGGGACAATTTAGAGTTACCAATCAGCCTAACATGCATGTTTGTGGTCTGTGGGAGGAAACCGGAGTACCCGGAGAAAACCCACGCATGCACAGAGAAAACATGCAAACTCCACCCAGAAAGGCCCCTGGACTGGGATTTAAACCGACAGCCTTCTTGCTGAGAGGCAGCAGCTCTACCAGTTGCAGCCACTGTACTGCCCCACTGTGTATCATCAGCATAACAATAAAAATTTATCCCATGCTGTTTAATAACTTTACCTAATGGAAGCATATATAATGTAAAGAGTATTGGTCCAAGCAGTGAACCCTGAGGAACTCCAAGACTAACTTTGATGTTTGAAGAAGATCCATTATTTACATTTACAAACTGGAATCTATCAGATAGATATGATTTAAACCATTTTAGAGCAGTTTATGTAATCCCAATATCACATTCAAGCTTCTGTAGTAGAATATTGTGACCAACTGCATCACGTTACAGAAATGACTTGAAGCGATAACTCTGAAGTCATGCAGGGAGATTGCTATATTACGATTTCCAAAACCCCTTTGGAATTCACCTCTACCAGTTGTTTTACTGCCTCCCCAGTTGAATTCCTCTACCGTTTGCTCCGTTTGCTCACTGTGTGTCGTTCTTGTGCCACAGGAACGTATCTGACCCACGAGGCCAAGGGCTCGGATGACGCCCCTGACGCCGACACAGCCATCATCAACGCAGAGGGAGGCCACTCTGGAGCAGAGGACAAGAAGGAGTACTTCATCTAGCTGGAGGGCAGAGTGGTGGAGGAAAGGAATGAGGAGGAAGTTTTAAAAGATATGGCTGAAGAAGAGAAGGAAGAAAACCTCCATTTGTTTTCACGACGCTTCAGTTCCTCACTTTCCAGGGAGAGTCGAAGGGGGAAGGGAGGGGGAGGACTGTGGGGAGAAGAAGTGACGAGCTGATCTTCAACTACCCTCTTTGCATTGATACAGGGAAGTGAGATTTTTGCACTGACGTTAAGATGAACTGAAGTTACACACACACACACGGAGGCATCATTCTGGGGATGGTTTTTAATTTTGTTGTTTTTCCACACAGACTTGAACGCTCGTAGACGCTCAGATTAACAAATGCGAGCTTCCTACTAACACATCTCAATTCTGACACAAGCATCCAGTTGTCAAAGCAGTGGTGGTGGTGGGGGGGGGGGGGGTTGTGAAAAAAAAAATGTAAATTGTAAATCACATTCCGACATCTTGGACTGACTTTTCCGTGTTTCAAAGCTTCATCGCCATCACTCCCTGAAGCATTTCCACCAAATCAGGTCTGTCCTCTCACTTTTCTGTCCTCATTCTCTCCATCAACAAGGCAGAATCCCTCCGTAAACATGTTCAAGTCCATCAAAACAAACTTCATCTATCTATGTCATCAAACCTCTTCCTGTTTCCTCACCAAAATCCTGGTACAGACAGTCAAATTACCCACAATGCACCACAAAAACCTGCAAAAATAGCATTCCCGCCTTGTGCTACCAAGCCCAGAGGTTCCAGTATAGGGATATAAATATATATAAATGTATAAATATAGAGTTATATAGCATTCTTTTTACTTGACAAAACTGTTTGGTGTTGTAAATACACTCTCTCTCTCTTTCTCTCTCTCTCTCTCTCTCTCTCTCTCTCTCTCTCTCTCGCCCTTCTGTTTTTACATTCTGTCTGTTCTCTCTCTCCCTCTACACCTCCCTCTCTCCTCGCTCATACAGTTTGTTACTGTGTTACGGTAACACATTTACTCGAAAGAAAATCTAAATAAAAAGCCTGCCTGTTTTTATTACATGCGTGGAACTGCTCAGTCAAAAATATCAATATGTTGTGCGGGGGGGGGGGGGGGGGGGGGGAGGGAAAAGGGAGACTATAAGTAGAAAAAGAGGGGGGGGGGGGAGGGGGGGGAGGTGGGGGGGTGGGAGTGAGCATCTGGAAAGC